ATCGGGGGCCTCGAGAGTAGGCTCGAAGGATATGCCTTCGGCGCCTTTGTGGAAGCAGCCGAGGAGTGGAGGGTTGCGGCGGTGGTGGAGGCGGAAGCGGCGGGAGAAGGCTGGGTCGGAGGCGATGCTGCGCCATCGCTTGCAGACGAAGGAGGCGCGGGGGAGGGAGGACGGGAGCGGGGAGAGGCGGAGGAGGATCTCGGAGAGCAGGTTGTCGTCGTCCAGCGGCCCCCCCGCCACCGCCGCCGGCAACATCTCGGGCTCCTCACAGCTCATGCGGCAGACCAGATGGGATGGTGAAGCAGCCGCCACGCTGGGGATGACCTTTTTTTTTTTGGTCAATCTCGCGAAGCTTTTTTTTCAAACCGTCACAACGTTTACATGGACGCCGGGATGACCTAATTCTACACGGCCAGCACGAGGGGGACTCAAATTAATTAAGCCCACTGGAAGAAGAAAGCCCAGGAACACACATCCCTATGGACCAACAAAGAGGCCCGGCACGCTCAGGGCACACACGATTTTACCTTTTAATTTTAATTTTTTGTGTGCCTGTGGTTTTCAATTCTAAGTTCCCACTTGTTTTAACCTTTATCTCAAAAAAAAACTTGTTGTAACCTTTGTGGTTCTGGAAAACTTTCAATTTTTTTCCTGATATATATGTATTTTCAGCTTGAAACTATAGAAGATTCCATCGATATGTTGCAGATCATTCATCCATAAATCAGAGTTCAAGTGCCGTCAACTGCAATGGTGATATTTTCCGCCATCTTAGGGTTTCCTTTCCTTTCTTTGAGTGGAGTGTTTAGCATATGCAGTGTGGCTTTACGTGGCAAGATTTTCATTCATGAAGAAAAAACACTCATTCGCTTTCTAATATTTTGCTTCAATTTTTAGAGCTCAATTTTAGTAGTTTGGTACTGCTGATAGATAACGAAGACTTCCGTTTTTAGTACTACTAGACTAGAATGGAGGATCTTGCTTGGATGGACAGGATCCTTGTCTCCTAATTCCTAAACTAAGGTCGACACCTGCAGGGTAGTGTAACTCTTCAGTTCTCACTCTGCTAGTTGTTAATTTGTACCGTATTACGCTTTACTGCACAAGACCTATAATTAGCAGCTTTGGAGCTTCTCCTATACCGAATCAGAAGACTGGTAGAATCACAAGACTGAATGAACTCTTCTTTCTGTTCTAGCTATCTAGGCCTTTTCTTATACTGAATAGGAATACTAGCATAGATTTTCGTGTGCTCGTATTTTTTGTGTGGCTGCTATTTAGTACTGTCTAGTATAAATAAGTGCATTGTGTGGCCTGATGCTGTATGGGTTGTGCATGGTTTATGGCCTGAAAAGAACTGAAAAGACCGAAGGATTTCTGGGGATCTGGTAGAAGGAGCTCCGACTGGCTGGAATCTCCTTGAAGAAGAGAACCGCAAGAAAAGGTAATGCAGAGAAGCAAAGGCAAGCTCTTGGATTTCGTGTTTGATTTCCTTTTTTTTCTCTTATATTATGGGACAGAGGGAGTAACAAACAATGTCAATCTACAGTGTGTGCCAAGTAGTGGTGACTTTGCATCTTTGTTGTACTGTAACACATACAAAAAGTTTATCAACATGAATAATGACAGCATTAATCAAAGTGCTTATAACTACTCTCTGGGTAATCTAGAGAGGAAATCGAAGTGCTTAAAACTACTCTGTAAGGAAGAGGAGGGCCTAGCTAGTTGGTCCCCATGGAGTAGAGTAAAACTTGCCATACTTGTGTCCAAGTTTCCTACACTAGTAGAAAACGGAGCTTTAAAACCGGTTCGTAAGGGCCTTTAGTGCCGGTTATGGAACCGGCACTAAAGGGTGGGCACTAAAGGCCCCCCTCTTTAGTACCGGTTCGGCACGAACCGGCGCTAAAGTGCCACCACGTGGCGTGAGCTGGCGCCCTGGTATGGGGGACCTTTAGTACCGGTTGGTGAAAGGTTTTTTTATTTTTTTTTAAATTTTGGAAAAAAAATTGATTTTTTTCTATTTTTAATTTTTCTGAATTATTTGATGATTTAGTCTCTAATCACCTCTCTTAATTGAGGTTTATTTATTTATTTTTTTGAAAATTTTGGATTTTTTTTTATTTTTAATTTTTCTGAATTATTTGATGATTCAGTCTCTAATCACCTCACTTAACTGCTCAAGTGTGGATAACTCATTTCAAATCGCCTAACTTCCCGACCAGTCACCCATCCTCTCACTCCCCCAGCCTGAGCACGCTTAACTTCGGAGTTCTATTCCCCCTACATTCCAAGTCTGCACTTGTTGTTTTCCTGACAAATGTAAGCTGCCAATCCTATTAACCCTCAGCAGTTTAGTTTGAGCATTAGGTCACACGTTTCACCGTTTGAGTTTGAAACTATTATTCTAAAAAACAGTAATTATTTAGTAACACTAATATTTCTTGAATAAGTTTGACCATAGTTTGACCAGATTTGATCAAAATTCAAAAAATTGAAATAATTAATTAGTAACACTAATATTCCTGAATAATTATGTAGTAACATTAATACTTCTTAAATAAGTAGTTTGACCAGATTTAACTAATTTTTTTTAAAAAAAACTGAAATTTGACCATATCTTTTTTTCCTTTTGGAATTTGAGGATTCTAAAAAATTGCAAATAGGCCGTAGGCAATCTTCATCAGATGCGGATTTTCGTGCTGAATTTTTTGATATATTATACGTTTTTTCCGACATCGTATGCAAAAGTTATAGCCGTTTTACATTTTCCCTACACTTTTTGCAAAATATGTCCAAATTTAAGTTTTCAAAATTTCCTAAGTAGTACATGTAGTAATATAACTACCTCTCGAAGGATTTTATTTTTTGAAGTTTTTATCATTTTCTTTTG